GTATAGAGTTGATAGTTCCGTTAGAGTACGGCTGTGTGAAATTGTATATATAGAGAGTAGAAAGCGAGCAAGGACAACTACAAATCGGTTTGATCATCTCTCTTTACCAAACCCCCGTTGGAGAGTTCGTCAAGTCGACGATGACAGGAGCACATACCGTGGTAGAGGTAACAATAGCTGCAATTTTCTAACCTACGACTGGATGCCTTCCTGCAGATAACAACTTGAGTGCGGTAAAAATCGATAAAACTGTTTCAAACACATCGTCGGTACATGAGCGTGTCGGTGATCATCTCTTTTTGCCAGTGGTGGCGGGGAGGAATACCCCTTACCATCCCTCTCCAACGGGGGAGTTTGGTAAAGAGAGATGATCAAACCGATTTGTACCTTCATTCATAAAAGTTGTCCTTGCTCGCTTTCAACTCTCTATATATACAATTTCACACTGTCGTACTCTAACAGAACTATCAACTCTATACTTTCATCTCCTCATCTATCTTATAAAAACATCCACTCTAGGCTGATATTTGAAATTATCATCTTCAACTATATAAATCGTTGACTTCACGCAGAAGTATTATAAAACAAATAGTTAAAGTCTTTCAGATATTCACCCATCAAACCAGTATGATCAGAAATTATTTTAAAAACCTACAGATGATCAGAGATTTCTCTGAAATCCTCAGAGTATTTTTTTTATGTTTTCAGGTTTATCACGTATTTTTCTGAAGATCTTAGACTGTCCAACGATTTACATCACGTCTCGCTGATTTTAACCCATGAAAATCAAAAATTATGTCAAAAACCAACAGATGGTCATACGCCTCCCTGAAGTCCTCAGGATTGATCCGGTATGATTTTAAAGATTTTTTTAAGCTCGCAAACTTCCCTGTTACTTGCAGAGATTTCCTTAAGTTCGCAGAATTTTTCTGGTGCAAGCAGACTTTACTGAAGTTTTGAGAACCACGAAGTTCTCCGCCTTTACTGAAGTTGGCAGAATATTTTGGAAACTTGCAGAAATTTTCAGTCTTTCATGATTTTAGTAAAATTTGTCTGAAGTTTATAGGTTTACTTGAAATTACCAGATTTTTCCTGAAATTTTCAGAATTTTCGTGAAGTTTGCATAACTTTTCAAAAATTTGCTGATTTTTCCTGAAATTTTCAGAATTTTCCTGGAAGTCTTGAGATTTTTCTGAACTTTTCAAAACTGTCCAGAAGTGCGTTGAAATTTTCTGAAGTTCGCAGAATTTTCCTGAAGCTCACCGACTTCACTGAAATTGGCAGAATTTCTCGGAAATTTGCGGATTTCGCATAAGTTTGCTTATTTCCGTGAAGCTCGGTGACTTTCTATAATTTAGTACAATTTGCTAAAGTTTCATAAAATTTACACACTTTTGAAGTTCACATACTTCCCTGAAGTTTCCAGAATTTTCCAGAGTTTTGCAGAACTTTCCGAAAATATGCTGAACTTTCCTGAAGCTTGCAGAATTTTATCCAAGTTACTAAAAGTTCTCTAAATTTAAAAAAAAAATCAGTGGTTTTTAAAAGTTTTCGGAATATTCCTGAAGTTCGCTGAACTTTCCTGAAGTTCGCTGAACTTTCCTGAAGTTCCCAGATTTTTTTTTTTCTTAAATTCGTCGAACTTTTTTGAAGTTCACTGAACTGTCATGTAGATGTCGATATTGTTTTTTTAATTTCACAAAATTTCCCCGAAGGCTTAAAATTTCCTTGGAGTTTGTAGATTTTTTTCAAAAGTGAGATAAGCCTTTTTGAAGTTTGCAGAATATTCCTGAAGTTTGCAATATTTTAATGTGCACTGTACTTTAGGAATCTCAAAGATTTTTGTTAAAGGACTTGTTGGCAGTATAATTTTGGAAATTGCAGTCGCCTTCCTTGAATTTTGAATAATTTTTCAAAAATCTACAGATTTTTCTGAATATTGTAGAATTTTTCTGAAGTTCATAGACTTCTTTTGAAATGATATTTTCTTATATTCGGAAAAAAATGTCCGAAGCTCGCAGATTTTTTTCTGAAGCTCACCGAGTTCACTGAAATTGGCAGAATACTTTTGAAGTTCGCAAAATTTTCCGGAAATTCGCAAATTTCCGTACAGCTCACAGACTTTCTATAATTTGGTACAATTTTCTGAAGTTTCATAAAGTTAACAGACTTCCTTGAAGTTCACAGACTTCCCCTGAAGTTCCCAGATTTCTCCTGAAAGTTCCAGAATTTTCCTGAGTTTTGCAGAACTTTCCTGAAGCTTGCTTGCTTTCCAGCAGTTTTTAATTTTTTTTAGAAGATTTCGGAATATTCCTGAGGTTTGCTGAACTTCACTGAAGTTACCAGAATTTTTCTGAAATTCGTATAATTTTGTTGAAGTTCACTGAACTTTCATGTAGATTTCAGGATGTTTTTTTTTTTATTTCACAAAATTATCCTGAAGGTTTAGAATTTCCTTGGAGTTTACAGAATTCTTCAAAAAGTGAGCTGACCTTTTTAAAAGTTCGCATAATATATCTGAAGTTTGCAATATTTTATTATAGCTTTTAGAACTTTGTGCGTAGTTGTGCACTGTACTGTAGGAAACTCACAGATTTTTGTTAAAGGAATTGTTCGCAGCATAATTTTGGAGTTTGCAGTCTTCCTTGAATTTTGAATAATATTTCAGAAATCTACAGACTTTCCTGAAATTTCGACCTCTCTAAAGATGAAATTTTCATAAATCCGATAAAATATACCGAAGTTCGTTGAATTTTCCCAAAGTTCACAAAAGTTCCCTGAAGTTTACTAAACCTTAGACCTCATATTGTTCTTAGAACTTTCATGATGTTCGCATAAAATTTCGTAAGTTGTGGAGTACGTTCTGTGGAAGCTCACAACTTTCTATGAAATTTACAGTTTTTGTATGTTCACAGACTTATTTTCAGAAATTTCCTGAAGTTCGTAGAATTTTTCTGGAATAAGAAGTATTTAATGAAGTCAGCAGTCTTTTTTTCAGACTTCCCTGAATTCAGTAGAATTTTCAGAAATTGATAGAAGTTTACAGTTTACTTCCTTGAAGTTCAGACTTCCCTGAAAATTCCAAGATTTTTCTTGAAATTTTCAGAATTTACCTGAAGTTTTAAGTACTTTCCAAAATATTGCTAAACTTTCCTCCAGTTGTTTACAAATGTTGATAGGCCCTGTTCTATTGTATTTGCAGGAGTTTGGAGAAAAAATTACTTCAGATGATGACGGGACTGCAACTTTGACAGTTGGATGTGTATGTATTGGTGAAACTGCTTTCACTCATACATACGCAAAGTTTAAATGAGGGCATGTAAAATTTATCTCGCCGCTATTTTTATGGCACGTTACTCCCTAGGTTGATGTCTTCGCTTCGCGCAAATTTTGACATAACGGCAACGATCAATTCTCGTAATAACTTTCAAATAGACCAATCTACATTGGTAGATTCTCTTTTGTTAATAACTCGGTTCCAAATACATGTTCAGATGTTATTATCGTCTAATACGCTTAAGAATATTTTCTGTTAATAGACTATGTAGAAAAATTAGCCCGAAATATGAATGCAGCCAAGTTATCAACCAAAGAGAGAGTCGATGAAGAGAATTGATCAATGTAGATTGGTCTATTTGAAAAGTGACGCGAAAATTATTGCTCTATGGCATGTCTGGCAGCCATGTTTTTAATGCTATCATCTGCTCTTTTCTTTCTGATTATAACACGATTTTCCGTCCCTTTCCACCATGTATACGTCAGAACGACCGTATTTAAATATGGCCCGTGATGTTGCCTATACTGCCAAACGTATAGCACAGACAAACAGGCAACACATTAAATATTTCTCACTGTAAAACATCGTCGCTTAAACATTACCGCCATCTGTTGAGTACACTATGGTGGGTAGTACACAGAACAGATGGCGGTAGTGTGTAAACGTCAAACGCAAGGGAATTGACTATGCGCGCCACAGGTGGTGGTACTACCAACTACGATATTTTTAAATTTACCGTTAAATGCTTGTTCGATGAACAAGTTGCGAGTGCTATGTCTGTTTGTCTGTGCGTATAGGATTGATATAGGGTAGCCCCGACGCCTTGGCCCGTTTAGATAAACATTTGGCATACCTGATAATATATTGAAAATTGTGTATATTGGTTCCATGGTTCTACTTCGACATATTCGGTGCTACAGACAGTCTTCAGGATGATTTGGAGATCATGGAATATCTGATATGCATGAGAACGGATCGCGAATAATGCATATTGACTCTATGAATCTGTTTGGGCATATTTCGATACTACAAACGTTGTCCCAATCTTGGTTGATCTAGAAGAATTGTAGAACTCCAGCCTCAGAGTTCCATGAAACCGGCCTCGGTAGGGACATTTGACCAAAATTGATCCAGAGAATCAGAAAACTGAAGTTTTATTACGTAGACAAGACATTTCCTCATAAGAAAGCGGACCACTTCTCATTTAGGACATTCCGATATTTTTCCATTAAATTAGATGAAATTTCCCATTTACACTGAACATTTCATAAGAATATCTTAAAAATTAAGGATACGGCAATTTTTTGAGCTTCAACTTTTATGCCCGATCGAAACGGGTTTTAAAAGAACTTCACAAAACCAACGAAACTTGTAAAAGCTGTGAGTTCCCCATGACCAAAATAAAAAAAATAGTCCTAATGTCCATTCCAACAGCTCGCAAAAGCCCACCCCAAACGAAGCTCACTAAAATGGACTAATCGCATCATTCCAAAAAAAAATATAAAATTTCTCGATTAGCAACCTCACCTACTTTCGTTCTTTCCGGCGAGCGAACACTTTTGTGTGCCATCCATCTCAATTCGCTCCAGAGGAGAAAAATTAAAACAATTCTAATTAGCACCAAAACGCCTGTCACTCATAATTCATCGTCCATTTTTCTCTCTCTCCACCGCCGCCGTACACATGATTGATTTCGATCTTTTTTCTCTTTCTCTTTCCGCAGTGGGTGGAGGAATCGTTCACCAACTTTGTGAAGGGTATCAACTGGCGCAGCTACGTGGTGTGCGATGTGGCGTACAACAACGTCAACAACTGGCTGTGGTCACCGTTCATCGACCGGGGTCCGGCCAACCGGCTCTACATCGAGATCCACTTCACCATCCGGGACTGTTCGCTGTTCCCGGGCAATGCGTTGTCCTGCAAGGAGACGTTCAGTTTGCTGTTCTATGAGTTCGATGCAGCTACGCGGGAACCGCCTCCCTGGCAGCCGGAGAGCTACAAGCTGATCGGAAGGATAGCTGCCGGGGAGGGCCGCTTCAATCAGAACTCCGACGTGGATATCAACGTGGAGGTGAAGAGTATAGCCGTTACCAAGAAGGGGGTATACTTTGCGTTCCGAGATCAGGGAGCGTGCATCAGTGTGCTGGCCGTGAAGGTGTACTACATCACGTGTCCGGCCGTGACGATCAATTTTGCACATTTCAACGAAACGCCGACGGGGAGGGAGATTACGATCATCGAGCAGCAGACGGGGACGTGTGTGGAGAATGCCGAGACATACGAAACGCCCAACTATCTGTGCAAGGGCGATGGCAAGTGGACGATCTTGAGCGGTGGGTGTCGCTGCAAGGTCGGGTACGAGCCAGATCACGAAAAGCAGACGTGCAATGTCTGCCCGGTTGGCAAGTTCCGTTCGGCGGAAGTCGAATCCTGTACGATTTGTCCGTTGAGTTCGAAAACCAACAAAATCGGATCGCCGTTCTGTCCCTGTCTTAGCGGGCACTACCGACATCCTAGGGATGGGAAGCATATGCCCTGCTATAAACCTCCGGGACCACCGACGAATCTCACGCTGCTGTTTATCGATCAAACCAGTGCGATCCTGTCGTGGAATGCTCCGCAACGGGCAGTCGATGAACAGGTGGACACCAAGTACCGAAGCGATATCGTTTTCCGGATAAAGTGTTCCGCTTGTACGTCGAATGTCGTGTTCAACCCGTCCACGGAGACGTTCAACGATACGAAGCTGACGCTGACGAATCTGGAACCGGTTACAACCTACACGGTGCAGATTCACTCGCAGCACGGCGTGTCCTATCTGATCAATCCGGAAGGGCAGGGTGCCGGTGCTGCTGGGTACGACAATAGCAGCAGTGGAGGCTTCAACAACAATCACTATCACCACGCGACGGAACCGCCGAACCTGGGCCGGTCGTCGGATTTGGACGACATCAAGACGGAGTTTGCGGAGATTACCTTTACGACTGAGTCGGCCATTCTCAGCACGGTGTTCAATGTGAAGTAAGTATTGAAACAAAAGCGCCTTAAGCGTGCGAATTTTGAAATTTTCCGCTTACCCCATTTCGCAGAGTGATCTCCATCACCAACAAGGAGGTAGACCTGGTGTGGGACAAACCGATGCACAGCGACTCCCCGATCGAGTACTACGAGGTCCGGTGGTTCCCCAAATCGGAGGTGGACGCCATGAACAAATCGGTGCTGAGCACCAAAGAATCCAAGATTCACATCAGCGACCTGCAGGAGAATACCGAATATGGTTTCCAGGTGCGCTGCAAGACCCTGAACGGGTGGGGCACCTTCAGTAACATCGTCTACGCCCAGACGCACCAGAGCGTCAGTCCAGGTAATCGTTGCGCTTCCATCGTTTCGAAAGAGGGTCTCACATAAAATGGTGTTTCGTTTCAGTGTATGATGATTCCTTCCAAATGCGAATTGTTGCTGGTTCAACAGTTGCAGTTGTCTTCATCTTAGTATTAGGTAAGTATTCTCGGATTTCCCTACCGAATTTGATACTAATCGTATTGTGACAAATGTCACCTTTCAGTGATCGTCGTCACCGTCCTATTCCTGCGCTCCAAGAGCCACGATGACATCGACAAGAAAACCAACAATCATCTCCCACTGCCGTTGGACTACGCCAGCAACGAAGGTAAACTGAAAGCGAATGTGTGCCCATACCCTCTCTCTCCCCCCCTCCAACACTCCCCCATTCCTACTCACGCGCCTGGCTTGTACAGAATTACACCACACCCCACTTTAAAAAACCTTTCCTCTCACATGACAGCAGCACCACACAGCTCATCTTCCAAGCCGAACTAGTCCCTCCCCCCGTTTGATTGAAACACTATAACCCACTATAGGCCAACTGGCCGCGTGTCGTTGAATGCTGTGTTTTAAAGAGAATGTCACAAGTGAAGCGAAATCCTAAATCCCATTCTCTTTTCTTTTCTGTCAAAACAACTCAAAAATCCCCTCTCCAAACAAACAAAACCAGGACTTGTAGTAACCTATAGTAAGTGGCAAACTACCTATTCGGATCCGTTTGGAAACTTTGTCAAAATTTCATTTCGAGAAAAGTTCAAACCGTTCAACCTATTAATTCACCATGTTTATTCACTCATCCTTCTTTGCATGTGTCACTTTTGCCATTTACTCGTTTTATCTCATATTGTTTTATGTGTGTATGTGACTGCACCCCGTTTCTTTCCTATATTCTTCGTGTTTGTATGTGTGTACAACTACAATTGCACCGACAATGTTCTTTTGTTTTTTTTTTGGTTGGTCCAATTCCGCAATCCAATTTTGACCGGGTGTGTTTCTCTTTGAGTTGTTGTTGTTGTTTTTATTATTCCTATTTTTTCTTGTTCTTCCTGTTCTTTTCTTCGATTTTATAGTTCACGCAATGGACACGACGCCGATCGTGAAAACGATGAAAAACAATGGTAAAGTTTTGCGCTCCCCCTTCCATGCAATAACCACACTCCCGTTGCGGTTGATGCTGTTTTCATTTATTTTTGGTTTTCATCAATATCTGCTCTCGGTTCTTGCCTCTAATTTTGCGCTCACGCGCGCTGTAGTGCTCTTTCCCCTCGATAACCGACGGTGATCTTTATTTCGTTCGCTTCATTTACTATAGCAGTAGGAGCCTAGAGGTCATCGTTACGTTGTAGATTCGGTTACTTTTGGATAATCCTTTCCTTCCTCAGTTCAGCTTAACATTCTCATTCTAACCATAATCAGATTCGGGTTTTGCTAGGTGTTGTAATCGTTTGGATCGTATGGGAGTAGTTCATCAACTCGTTGTACAAATTGTTAGTGAAATGGGTTTTGTTTGGGCAGCTCGGGAACATTAAGAGAATAGACCTCTGCTGATTGTGAAACGCAAATTTTCAAATAATATTGAAAGCAGAAATTACATGTATATTTTTTTCAGTGCACAGATAGATCTTCAAAGGTCATCTAAAATTAAATTGCCTTGCTAGATCAATAATTTGCCGGTGGTTGAATCGTAAGGGTGACTGCTTTCTCGCCCAAGCAGTTCTGGGTACAATCCCAGCCGAGGTCTCGTTGGGATTCTGGGAGCCGAAAAATCTCTGGTCAAGTCTTCCTTCTGAAGGGCAGTCAAACCATTGATCCCGGCCGATGCCAGGTGTTGAGTAGCCTCTCTGGCATCGGTCATTGACACTTTGCGGAAAACAGCGACTGACGAAAAATAAACAAGAATAAAATCTCGCGTCCCTTTTCAATAGGTCCTATCTACATCGATCGATTCTCTTCATCGACTTTCTCTTTGAAGTTAAGATATTTTCGGATATTTTCGACACCCAGTTCGATGGAAGAAGCAACAATCTAGCATCTAATACGACAAAGCCGACAGGAAACGTTTTTGTAGCCGTTATTTACGAACGAGAGAGTCGATCAAGAGAATCGATCAATGTAGATTGGTCCATTTGAAAAGTGACGCGAGGAATCTCATTCAGTTTTGACTGTTTCTTCTTCTTTGGCTATTACGTCCCAACTCAAATAAGTTGGTGGTAGTATACGGGGGGCGCAAAAGTAATATGGTTACTTTCGATAATCATCGCCCGACTGTCGACTTCCTGATTCGGAATAGTTTTGCGAATCGCGATTAATTCTTTGCTTCTCAAAGGTCCGGATCAGCTTACGTCCTTGACGGCCGTTTTATCCAGGTGATGTCCATATTAAGGAGATACTTTACCAACTAGGGATTCCTGGGAACCTGGACAGCTTCGGGTACGGATGTGGATGCCGCAGAGATAGCAGAACAGATGAAGATGATCCACAGCAAAGGAGGTTTCCTGCTGCAGAGCTGGCGATCGAACGGCACCCTCGTAAAGTAACAACAAAGCCTAGGAGAATCAACGGAGCCTAGCAACCGGAATATGTTGCTGGAGAAAAGCACAGGGCTGGTCCCACTAAGAGGAAAGCCGGGATCATTGAGCTTTCTTCTGGTCTACGGTAGAGTGTGCTCTCAACTTAGCATTCTAGATGCACTTCCACAGTTATTAATTGAGAGCAGGGCTATGTATTTTCGAAACAAAGAAAAGCAAATGAACTCTCCGCAGAATCACTTCATTTCGAGCAATATGATTTTCGTGTAAGTCATTGTGGTTCTTGTTATCGAGTCACGATGACCATTCCTCCTTTCAAACATGACTTGACTATCGCTTGTTTCGTTCGTCAAGTGCTTCAGTTCTGGCACGTAGATGCTGAAAATCGGGGGATGGCACGTAGATGCTGAAAATCGATACCAGACGCCGTTTTGGTATCCAAAATAGTGACAATTGGGTCTCTGAAGTGTCAAATACCCTAAGATATGGGTATTTTAGGAACGGGAATAAAGCGTAGATGTCAAAAATTGATATCCGACGCTTTGTTGGAATCCAATATGGCGACCATCAGGATTCAGAAAGTGTCAAATACCCTACAATATGGGTATTTTCGGAACGGGGACGACGCGTAGAAACTAAAAGCCGATATTCGAAGCCATTTTGGAAGTTTTGTAAAATGTGTCAAATACCCTAAGATGTTTTCGGAACGGAGACAACGCGTGGATGCCGAAAATCGATATCCGACGCTATGTTGGACTCCAATACGGTGGTCATCGAGTTTCGGAAAAAGTTTCAAATACCCTACAATATGGTTATTCTCGGAACGGGGACAACGTGTAGATGCCGAAAATCGGTATCCGATGCCATTTTGGAATCCAATATGGCGGCCATCAGGTTTCATATAAAGTATCAAATACCCTAATATCAGGGTATTTTTCGAAACGGGGACCTTTCCGATTAACACGACGCGTAGATGCTGAAAATCGGTATTCGGTGCCATTTGCAGGCCATCATCTTCTGGAATCGGAAGCCACGATCTTGAATTTCAAGATGGCGTCGGACATCGATTTCTGGCTTCTAAATGTCACCCCGATTCCAAAAAACCCACATGATCGGTATTTGACTGTATTTCACAGTTTCTCTGAACCAAAGCCACCATCTTGGATTTAAAGACGGTGTGACATCAATTTTTGGCATCTGCGCCTCATCTCTATTCTGAAAATTTCCGCAAATCGGAAGTTCCCGTCTTAGATTTCAAAATGGCGTCGGCTATCGATTTCCGGCCTCTAGACGCCATCTCGATTCCAAAAATACCTATATTGATGGGTATTTGACAATATTTCCCATTTGTTCTGATCTTGATCTTGGATTTGTAAATGGCGTCGCATATCAATTTTCGATCTGTAGACTTCATACTGATTACAAAAATGTCAATATTGATGTGTATTTGTCTGTAGTTCCACTTTTTCTTAAGTCGAAAGCCGCCATCTTCGATTTCAAAATGGTGTCGGATATCGATTTTCATCCTCTAGGCATCATCCCGATTCCAAAAATACCTTCATTGATGGGTATTTGACAGTATGTCCTACTTTCGCTTAAATGAACCGAGTGAACAATCAACAAAAGTCATAAAAACTGCGCGAGTTTGGATCGAACAGCTTCGCTTCAATGCAAAAGTAAGTTCATGTGACAACGAAAGAAGAAATGAACACGAGTCAAGCCAGTATGAAAACTGATCGAAAGTGGTTCTGTTGATGTTGACGGGGATCTGCTTGAAGAGAAGACAGAATGACTTTCAATTGAAAGTGATGGTTTACAGCTTCATCGTCGCTTGACGATTTTCGACTGAAAGTGACTTTGTGGGGCCCTGATTGAGAGTTTTCGATGCCTGTATCATTTTTGCATTAGTATAATTGAGTGGCAAGTTCAATTATACCCTACACTCCAGTATGGTCTTGCTTTGTAGCTGCGCCTTTATCGACTGAGCTAAGGGAGGCACTTGAACATAGAACTTTCTTCTATTCGATCTAATGACGCATTCAGCACAGCTGCGTTCGGCCCAGTAAATTTAGAGCTGGTTACTTACTGATTCCTCATATGTGCGCCCGCTGTAATTGTAACTTCGGAATGTAGATACAATTTAATTTCCCCTAATTAAAACTATGGTACGGGTAATCTGCTCTGCTACCAGCTGTGAATCTTAAAAATACTAAATTGTTCGTATATTTGCTTTCGGTATTTGGACTTGGCCATCTTCCGGGGTATATTAAATTGTCTCGTCTTCCGTGCAGTGCAAAATCTTAACGATGTTAAACTAAAACTAGCCCTGATGAAGATTCCAACCCTTGGATCGAAACGTTGACGCATGATAGTGGTCTACCACCCATTGTAGCACGGAAACTAAGCCCGATTGCAGTAGGCTCTCTTCTTTGTTCGTCTTGATCAAGCTTAATAACCTCTGATTGTATTCAACATGTATGAAGCTCCAAAAACGGATTGGGTGGAGTCGCCTATACGCATCTACGGGACAGTAAATAATCTCCTTCCAGCAACATGATCGCACAATTGGTCAAAAAGACGAGCTCCCAAACAGGAAGATGCCCGAATGAGTGGGGAGAAGAGCCCACCCTTTATCCACGAAATGTTATCAACATAATCGAAACGTTGACGATGATAGAACTGTAATCCATTTTTTTTCTTGAAGATTTGGAAGCCGAAACATCTTGAAACTTCACCACACTTTTCTGAAGTTTTCGGTGATTACTTGAAGTTATTGAAACAGCCTAAAAGAGCTCTGAATCTCAAGAGTTCCCGCAACTTTCCTGAACTTCATTGAATCTCATGGAACTTCCTTTGACATCTCTTAACTTACTTAAACTTTCAAGAAGTTTTCGGAACTTTTCTTACGTTCCATCAATTTCCCTGATATTCATAGAACATCCCTGAAGACCTTGGAAATTGCCAAATTTGTTTTGGAACATTCCTGAAATTCTTGGAACGTTTCAGAATTCTTGGAACTTCTGGAAACTTCCTGCAATTAACTAATGGTTTCTCTGAAGATTTCTGATCTACCTCGAAAACTTTTATGAAGTTCCGGAAATTCTCTAAAATTCTTCAAACTTCTGTAATGTTCCTGCAATTTCCTTGCAGTTAAATGAACTGCCCTGAGATACTCTGATCGTCTCTAATGTTCTCGAAGCAACCGTGAAGTTCTCACAATTCTTCGGAAGCTTGTGGTACTGCCCTGAAATCAATGGAACTGTCTTAAACATCTGTAAAGTTTCCAAAATATATCTGAAGTTTAAAAAAAATCGGTAGATCTCTAGACTTCACTGAAATTCCTGGAGCTTCTTAAAGAAGATAAAGAGATTAAAGTTTTTCCAATTTTCCTAATGTTCTATGGACTTCTCTAAAGTTTTCTTGACTAACATAACATTCTCTGAAGTTGCTAAAACTTCTGAATTTAATAGAACTGCTCTAAAGTACTCGAAATTTGCCTGAATCTATCGGAATTTCCCTGAAGTTATTGGAACTTCCATGAAGTTCCCGACCAGTTCCAGGCCGAATAGGATAAAAACACAGACATTTCG